GGGGGGAGGCAGAGAGTAGAATCAGGGTCTCCCTGCCCCTAGTCCAGCATCTCCCCCCCCCCAGAGTTCCCTGGCTCTGCGACTGAGGAGTGGGGATTGATCCAGTTACATAGGTAGCTTCTGTGGACAAGCGGGGAGAGAACCTGGGTCTCCACATTCCTAGTCCACCTCTTCACCGGCCCTTAAAGAAGAGACTGGTTTGTATGGACAACAGGGTCAGGAAGGCATTTCTCTCTTCAGCTGAAGACTGAAGCTGGCTGAGCATCAACCATTCTGCCGTGCAACCCATGGGAATGATCAGAGGTTGTGGCCGGTGCCCTCTCATTCCACCCAGCCCTTAATGGCATGGCTGCCCCCCAGCTTCACCATGAGAGAACACGGGGGGCAGCTTAAGGACCGCAGAGAAGACCTCAACCAGTGGAGAAAGTAACAGATACGAACGGTGTCACTCAGTTTTAAGTACCTGCACAACAGATCCTATCACGAGAGAACAGGCAAAACCCCAAACCTCAGAGGAATCGTTAAGAGATTTTTATTCTAATAGCTTTAATTACAGTGCTTGTTTGTTGAAATGATAACTGAAAACAAGTATACAAAACAGTTGATTACTGTATTGAAAGCAAATAAAGAGATTTTCCACAACACTAAACAAACCAGTTCTGATAGTTCCTCAAGTCAAAGTTTAAACAGCTCCAGCTTCTTCAGTGTTTTATCAAAATACAAAAGAAAAAAAAAAAGTTAAGAGGTCTTCTTGGATGGCAAATCTGAACCTTGCAGTATGAGGGATGTAAAGGGTTTTCTCACACACACAGATGTGGGATTGTTCCCAAAATGGAATCCGACACTTCTAGAATGGAATGCAATTCCAAACTCTCATGCTTTCGTATTTACCCCTTAGATGCGGCAACAGAAGGCTTGGGTGGCGTTTCTTATTTAAGTACAGTACTTGCTGATGGCAGAGCTGAGAACTGCTGTGGGCTGCTGTGATTTTCGTGCAAGAGACTCGTCTTCGGGAATAATTCTATGCTGGAGAAGTCCAAGAATTTCTGGAGAAGCTACACTCCTCAACATGAAACATGAAGATGGCACTCTTAGGCGGGAGGGGGAAAAAAGTTCTTGTCCAAATCTAAGGGAGAGTTAAAGGGTTACAGTGGGTCCTGCGGGCCAATTTCTCTTTAATCTGTGACCTCAACTGACTTCACTCTAACTCTTGGGAAAGTCTCACATTCGCATAAAAACACAAAAGGTTGTCAAGCACAGAAAAGACCAAGAATGCTGCTCATTCTATGATCTGTAACAAGTTAAACTGCTGGTATTCTTCAAGTTGTTGCAGAAATCACGAAGGGTATTGTGTTCAAGTGTTTCAGCTTTCCTTTTTTCCTTTTTTTTTTTTCCCGTTTTCTTAAAAGAAACTCATCCCCAGGCTAAAAAACGGCCATGAAATCTGGCCTCTGCCCAGATCTCCAAGCCAAGAGGGATCACATTCGGTTCTAGTTCACACACAACCAGATTCCTGGCAACCTTTTTCTGCATCCACTTAAAATCCCTTCCCCAGTACTGAACAGCGAGTTGATTTTCTTTAGAATAAAAAAGCTGAGTAATATTGCATAGGAGTACCAGAAACTGCCTCATGGGAAACAAGAACTATTTACATTAAATAAGAACCCTAAACTGTTTTCAGGCGTGGTTTTGCCACATGTACAGCATGGTGAAGGACATCCTGTGACAAGAGATGTGAAAACAGTTTCCGGCACTCAATACTACAAAGTAGCATGGTTTGCCACATCAGAGTAAAGCGAGGAGGAGGAGGAGGAGGAACAGGAGGAGGAGGAAGAACAGGAGGAGGAGGGATGGAGAAAAGAGGAATATTTTAGGGCTTCATTTCTGGTTTCGGAGCTGATTGGACAACCAGTCCAGTCCTTCATAGAGACCATCACCACTGGTGGCACAGGTGGCCTGGATGTACCAGTTTCTGTGGCGGAGAGAATGCAATCCTAGTTTGTCTGTGATTTCTGCGGCATTCATTGCATTCGGCAGGTCCTGGAAATGGAAGCAACTTGCTTTAGAAAAGGCATTTTTTTCCATCACAGCCACACAGGAAGGATCCATATGCTATAAACCAAGTCCTCCTCAGAAAGGAGGCAGAACAAAAAGATTTGTATTCTATAATCCAGTGCAGTGTTTCTCAACCTCAGCAACCTGAAGATGGGTGGACTTCAACTCCCAGAATTCCCCAGCCAGCCATGCCACACATCTTCAAGTCGACGAAGTTGAGAAACACTGATCTAGTGGCAGGCTTTACACCTACCACTCCCCTATGACACGTAATGCCCGCAGGGGCATCGTCAGGGTATGGCCAATGAAGTGAAGATGGCAACTGCAACAATGTGACTGAAGTTCTGTCCATTTTTGTTGCGCAAGGCACTTTAAAAAACAGGCAAAGCTTCTATGGCGCCATCATGGACGTCATCTTGACTTTTTTTTTGACCATACCCGGTGGTCACCCTTGAACACTAAGCTAGAATTCTGCATGGTAACAGCAAAACACATATGCAAAATACCTCTTAAACTACACCTGGGGAAAAGTTCTCAAATGGGATTCTCAACTGGAAAGCAGGTAAATTCTTTTTGCATTGTGTTTTAAATTGGTTTAATTGATTTGATGATTGCTCGCAGCCCAGAGTCACGTGTTTGAGATGGGCGGCTTTACAAATTGAATGAATGAAATCCGTGATATTTCTCAATATTATGGAAATAACAGGTTTTCATATCTTTCCATTTAGGGACTGTTAAGACTCTGAACTCTGGGGAGCAACTTCTCTTATGAATCTACTACAATTATCTATTTTTCCTTCTGTCTTAGGGTATTCGAGAGAACTTGCTTCATAGAACTCTTACAACTGCTGTGAGCACAGAATGCCATTAAGCGCAGCCTGCATTACATGAGCATGAAAGTAAATCCAAACTGGGGGGTAACTGATAAAACTTTTAAGCTAACCAGATAAAAAGTGGCAGTATTTCAGGAAGAAGTGAGGTACAAACTTAGGCTGACAACTCCACTGAAGAAACTCCTTTTCCTCAGTGAACTTTGCAGGAGACAATGCAGTTGCCAACCAACAGCACTTTGCAGCTACCAGACCAAAATGAGGGAGACCCAACCCTGACTCCAGAGTGGGAGCTCAAATGCCACCACTTCCAGACTTCAGTCAGTGCCAGACTACATGAAAGCAATTCTTTTCTTTCTTTTTAAAGTTAAGGTGCAAGATTGTTGTGTCTAAGAATGGGCAAACTCTTTTGGGGCCCTGGGGGCACCTCACCCCCGAAGAGGAAGAGCAAAACATAAAGCATAATAAAAAAATTTCTTAACTGTTAACTTTGTACCACATACTAGGTAAACAAACAAACGTTAGGGAATAAAAAGCTCCTCGGGTATTTAGTTTTTATCCTATCAATGAGGAATACTGAAAATATTGAAGCATTCAAATTTTATTGCCAATTCCTCAATGGCATATGATCTGGCCCAGTGCCCGGGGGAAGAACCATGGTGTTCTTGAAGTGTTCCCTCCCTCCCTGTGTCTGCGATGGGCGGATTATGATTAAGGGCCTCAGCGGCCTTGGGTCAGAAGCATGTGCAGTTGCCACCATGCGTAAAAAAGGTGCGGGTGTTGATTGTACAGCCATGCCATCTTCTGACTGCCCCTACCCCACGGACAGCCGTGTCCTGGATGCAAGATGGGCAGGAGTGAAAGCTGCTGCAATTTAGCGCCTCACTGCTTAACTTTTGAGGCATAAAGTTCGGACTAGGACAAAACTTGGGGGAGGTGATGAGCTTCAATCTGCCCACTCCTCTTACATCATGAATGTTAATTGTAAGACAAGCAGCACAGTGATTTTTCAAATGTGGATTGAGGGGTGTGTGTGAGAGAGAGAATCTCGCTGTTGTCATAGGAAGACTGATTCTTTTGGTTGTCATTAGCACACAGTGTAAGAATTCCAAGTATCTTCTTAGATCTTTTAGGTCAGCTTCCTGGTATGCAATTATTTCGAATTCCACACCAAGCAACGGTTGAAAAACAGTGAGACCGCTCTGCGATTCCACCAAAGCTGCACTGACTGATGTGGGAGTCACCTATAAAGCCCTTTTTGGCAGAGGGCCTGGATAGCTGCAAGACCATCTGTCTCCAGTTATCTCTGCCCATCCTATAAGATCCAACTTGACTGGCAGGCCCTGAGGCCCATCAGTTAAGCAGGGTTACCTTGTGGGATCCAGGAGACATGCCTTCTCTGTCACAGCACTTGCCCCATGGAACAGCCCCATAATTTGGTTGGTCCCTACCCTGCTGACCTTTAGGAAGACCCTGAAGCTCTAGTGGTTCTCCCAAGCACTGGGCCAGTTATATGAGTGGTGTGTCTGGCCCCCAGTACAGTATATTTTATTATTTTATCATTTTAATTTGCATTTGATTTTTTTAACCCTAGTTAGCCTGGTATGGTGGGCAACCATATAAACAGGATGAATAAACTACAAACAATTAAATATTGTCCATCACTTTGGTGGAGCTCAACTAAGGTGCCACAGATCACATATTTTGTTTCCTAGAGTTATCAGAACATACCCACTGCTATTCTGTCACCATCGCAAAACAAGCAGATGTTCTAAATTCTAAAATGAGACTGGGCAACAACCAGGAGGCTGAGGGCTCCCTGGTGTAATCTTTTCACACGTACCTGTTTGTTAGCGAACACTAAAAGGACAGCGTCTCTGAGCTCATCTTCTGCCAACATTCTCATAAGTTCTTCTCTGGCCTCATTGACTCTCTCCCTGTCATTACTATCAACCACAAAGATCAAACCTAAAAGGAAACAGCAATTGTTAACTAGGAATGTGCCAGGGACTCTAACAGCCAGCCATCTAGCACAGTGTTTCTCAAACTTGGCCACTTTAAGATGGGTGGACTTCAACTCCCAGAATTCCCCAGCCAGCCATGCTGGCTGGGGAATTCTGGGAGTTGAAGTCCACCCATCTTAAAAGTAGCCAAGGCTGAGAAACACTGATCTAGATGGCTGATTCAAAATTGAACAATGGGGATTTGGGGGGGGGGGTCGTTCATCTAGAGAGGAAAATTGTTACTACTTTTATAATTTAAGTCTTAGTAGGTACACACAGAGAGAGAAACATATTGCTACATTAGGCTCATGGTAATAGAAAATTGACTTCCAGGTGTTTGTAAATACAGTTCACAATCTACATGTATCTTAATCCATTTCCTTTGATTACTGGGTTTAAGCCAGTCATATAAGAGCTTAAAGGCAGTAAACTTTGCAAGGGGTAATTTACTCTGTTTAAATACCAAATTTGATCAAGGCAAGAGAACCACCTCACAGAGAGTGATCTTCTGGATTTGCTTCCAAAATCTAACATGCTATAAGATTGGTCTCACTCAAGAGAATTTGAGGCTTTGGGAAATGAAAATATAGAAAGGATAAACAGGACTTCTTTAGACAAAACTGGAAATCTTAGGAAGGGGAAGAGTTAAAATGTTAACAAAGGACTGGCAAGATTCTTTGTGATAAGGCTACGGACAAAGCAGTTAAGAACAACAATTTGAGTAGAAACCGTTTTACAATGTGGGACAGAATAGTACGTTGTCTCCCCTCATTTTTTTTTTTTTTTTGCATTCATCTGAGATGAGCATCACTGCTCCAATTTCTACCAGCAACATGCTGATGTGGTTAATCTGCTGGCAAAGTGACTAAAATGTCACCCTGAAAGGAGCTCTGATACCACCATGGGAGGGAAGGAAGGAAGGAAGGAAAGAAATGAAACTATCAACTGGATTTTTTTGTATAAACTTCCAACTACATACAGCAAGAAGCTGAAAGACATTACAAATACTTCTATACAACAATAACACTGCACTAAACCTTCCACTCTTAACACCAAATGAACAATTTCTTCTATTTTCTTTCTCTGATTTAGCAGAAGAGTTTAATATTTTGATGAGGAAAACCAAATTAAGCAAAGGCTGCTAGTGTGCCAGGCACAAAGGATCACCCAAATTCATGACAAAGGTAGAATGCGGATTACTCTTCCTCCTGGTCTACGGCTCAAGTCTTCTGGGCATTATATTAAATTATTTATTTCTTAACCTGCATTTACATTTTAACAGGCTATGTGAATCCAGCAGCCACTGACTCAGAGCCCTGACCCATTTAATTCAGCAATTTCAGGATGGAAAACCTGGGTCCCCTAACAGCAAAGCAGAACTCCTTCAATTCCAGCTACAGGTAGCCCTCACTTAACCATTCGTTTAGCGACCGCTCAAAGTTACAACGGTGCTGAACAAAGGGACTTACAACTGTCACAACAGCCCCACGGTCACATGATCACGATCCGGGAACTTGGCAACCAGCTCGCACTTACAATAGTTGCAGCGTCCCAGGGTCATGTAATTGCTATTTGTGATCTTCCCAGATGGCTTCCAGCAAGCAAAATCAATGGGGAACCGTGTGATTTGCTTAACAACCACAGTGATTCACTTAATGACCGCTGCAAAAAAGCGTGTGTGACTCGTTTAACAACTGCCCTGCTTAACAATGAATTTTCTGGTCCCTATTGTTGTTGTTAAGCAAGGACTACCTGTAGTATAGTGAATATTGAGGGATGCTGGGAGTTGTAGTTGAACAACACCTACGGAGCCTAAGTTCATTTTTAGGCCTGCTCAGGGAAGTCAGAGACTAAACCCAGCATCCTATGCGTGCTTTGAATGGAGGGGGAGGGGCCATTTCCCAAAAACAGACATAATACGAAACACGGTTGCGGATTTTATCATAAAGGTGAATAAATTCAACCAAGGTAACTCAGACAGAAGGGTGTTATCTAGATCCCAAGTTTATAACAGAATTCTTTGGGATGTGGAAACCACCCTCCATAACATTCAAACCTGATTCAGACAGCTCACAAGATTCCCTGATGCTATCAGTGTAATTCTGGTGCAACTTAATGACTCTTGCAACAGGTCAACATCTAAGTGGGGTTTCATTTATAAATGGAAACTGTACGTGGATCTTACAGAAAAAACTCACCTTGTGTATTTTGGAAATAATGGCGCCAGAGGGGTCTGATCTTATCCTGTCCACCGACATCCCACACTGTGAAGCTAATATTCTTGTATTCTACTGTTTCTACATTGAAACCTAAACAGTTACAGTGGGAGAGAATGTGCTCAGTTAATAGGAGAAAGATAGACTTGTCCATCTAATACAAGATGATGTCAATCACATATGTTCTTCAACAACCCCCTCTCCTTGCCAGTTGAACCCTAAGGTGATAAGAGGCACATGTTATAAACAAGTCTCACAATCCATTAGAAAAACATACCCTAACCTTTCCTTCCCCATATGCATTTTACAAATTGGTATTAAAAAGCTACACATATATTGTAATAACATAGAACTCTACGGTTGGAGGGGACCTTGGAGGTCTTCTAATCTAACCCCTTGTCCAGGGCAGGAATCTTCAGACCACCTCAGACAAGTGGCTGTTCAACCTTTGTTTGAGAACCCCCAAGGACGCAACTGTGACTCCAGGAGGCAAGCTGTGCCACTGATGATATTTTTTCCCACCTTTTTTATATACATTAGTAACTCAAGGCAGAAAACATACCTAATGCTCCTGCCTCCTCCTATTTTCCCCACAACCACCACCCTGTGTGGTGGGTTGGGCTGAGAGAGAGTGACTGACCCAAAGTCGCCCAGCCGGCTTTCATGCCTAAGGGAGGCCTAGAACTCTCAATCTCCCGGTTTCTAGGCCAGCACCTTCACCACCACACCAAACTGGCTCTCTGGAAACAGAGAAGGCTTGTTAGCCTTTATGGTCCAAGGAGTGGATTGCTAGATTTTAATTTTTGTACATTACTATGTACAAAATATGCCACACAAGTAATGTTCATACTTTTTACTTAGCTGTTTATCTCCAGAACATTTCAAGTGCAATTAATTAACTGAAAGCAGTGCAAAGAGAGAATACTTTTAGATATTATTAAATTTGCCACATTTTCACTCAAGAATCCTCAGACTACTTTAGGCTTGCCTTTAAAAACAAAAGTAGAATAGCTTTATCCAAACAAGAACAACTAAATGAGAGTGCTCCTACACAGTTTTCCTTGACAGGTTTCTTTAACAGTGATGCTACAAAGGCTCCATGGAAAAAAATGTCTTGAGATCTTGACTTTTTACCTTACACACTCAATATGTAATATGTCCAAAACACAGAATATCCTTTAGTTCAAGCAACTGTAAAAATGCAGCACAGAGGTAGCAAGATCTTTGCTGCTACTCGTCACAAAGCAACCCAGACAGGCTAATCGTTTATTTTTACCCACAGGTCCTCTACTGTGCAGAACTTACTCATAAGCCTTAACTTTATTTTAAACTACCGCTTAGTTTCACTTTAAAGCTGCTTGAATTCTTACCTATAGTAGGGATGGTAGTTACTATTTCACCAAGCTTAAGCTTGTACAATATAGTAGTTTTTCCTGCAGCATCCAGCCCAACCATAAGTATGCGCATTTCTTTTTTGCCGAAGAGGCCTTTGAAAAGGTTTGCAAAAATATTTCCCATGTTTGAGGATGATGTTCACCCACTGGCCGAGAAAGTCTAGGAAACAAAGGAATTATTATTATTATTATTATTATTATTATTATTATTATTATTATTATTTATTGCATTTCTCCACCGCCCATCTCCCCCACAATAGGGGACTCTGGGCGGCTTACAAAGACATGAGAACTATAAATATATATAAAATACATAATATATATACAATTAAAACAATTCAAGACAATTAGCTTAGTTAGACGTCAAGATCATATCTAGCCCCAAACACATATATTAAGAGCCGTCTTGAACAGAGTGGGATTTATTGCTCATGTAAGCATTCATAGCCAGTTCACGGCAATGGAGGTTCAAAGCAAAATAAAAGTTGAACATGTAAACAGCAGCTTAGAAGGCAGTATTTATGCGGGTTAAATAGCCAAGTATACACAAAGAGAGCAACAGGTATTTTCATCACAAGATAAAAACGTTTCAGCAGGAGACTGGCAGTTTGCTCCAATACACAATTATTGTAATGACCATGTTCTATAAAAACAACAATAAAATGGTCAGTACAACATAAGAAAGCTTAGAGTTATAGGTGTGAAAACCATGTTACTCCAAAAAGACAGAACAGGTCATTTGAAGTTTGTTGACTGTAATTATGTCTATTTATACATATACCTACAAACTTCTACTCAGTTTTCTAACCAAAGGAAAAAAGAAGGCTTCAACACAGAAACAGGAGCGTAAAAATACAGGTAGTCCCCAGGTTAAGGACGCCCAGTTTACGGACAACCCATAGTTAAGAACAGAGCCTATTTTGCAAAATTCAAGTTAAATACACAATACACAAGGGTTTGAGTTTATTACACAATACTACTTATACAGTATTATACAATAATATTGTTCCGGCTTACATACAAATTCAACTTAAGGACAGACCTTAGGAATGGAACTCGTTCTTAAACTGGGGACTACCTGTAATTCCAAGACTACTGCACCTCTTCCTTTACCTAATGATAGGAATAGTAGCTAGGGCAAACCACCACTGATTGTGGCATGATGCTATTCAATGCTAATCATATGTAATTCGAACAAAAAATGCTAGGAATCTAGTACTGATAACAGTAGCGTTTACCAGATTATTACATTAAATTTTCCTTAATGAAAATAATCGCTATCGCACTACGCATTCATTTTCCCTCTGTGAAACTGAGCCCAGTTTGATAAACTCTTAAGTTGGCAGAATCCAATTTGAACAGCGCGATTCTCTAAAAGAAAACGGTTCAAAATTCTAGAGCCCAAGCATCATCGGATGCTTAGCCAACAATGCTCCTGGGAGTCTCCACTTTGTTCTACTTACATCATAATACTGAGAAGGCCAAAGATGACGCTGTTAGTACTTCCCATGTTTCTACTCAGCCAAACTTGGCAGAGAAGAAACACAGCTGGCTGCCAGCTGACTCCTCAAAGGAGCCCATTAGTTTTAATATGAAGCGCCATGGACTTTGGGCGCACTTTTCTAACTAGAAGCATCACAACTACTTGTCTAGGATCTTCCAGCCCTGAAGCACATGAAATTCCAGCTCAGAGATGCCCTGCAACTAGCTGAATCCCCAAAACGACTCTCCCAAATCTTCTGTCAGCCATCCAGAATTTGGAGAGACAGACAGTATGTCTGCAAAACTGGATACATTTGTAGAAGAGGAACTCTAGGCATGGGAGGGATTTCTGGATTTGTGACCAAAAGTGCTAATTTCCAATTATGATAAACAGTTTGACCAAGTTATCCAACAGGTGATTTGGAGGTTGAAGTAATATTTTACCGGCTTGAGCTAGTAAGCTCTCCAGGAGCAGGAAAGTAATACACGAACTGGCAGTGCCTGCAGGAACTTGAATAGAAAACACTGGATCTTCAAGTGCTTCTGCCTCTGCCAATATGTGCTCTGCCTCTATTACCCACACCTGTTCCATGCTGTTTTCTCACATCTCTGTCCTGCACTGTACTTTCATATGAACTGCCAAACCAAAACCAAGCACAGGATGAACAAATCATCTCTTCCCACATAATCACTCACCCCTTCACCTCACAACTGCAGTTGTGGAGGACTGAAGCCTCTCAGCTGCAACCAGCCTTACAAAAGGCACACAGCAAAACAAATGGGTGCAAAAATGACAGGGGAGGAGATAGTCATAATTCTGAATCTATTTGTGTATTTATCAGGTGAGGTTCCCCCCAGAAACGATTATACTGTCTATCAATTCTGTGATCAATATTAACGCAGAAGTTTCACTGGAACAGAAAAAAAGCTACAGCTATAGTCAGAGACAAAGGCAATTCCAATTTCTAGAACAAGATTTGAATCCAGATCTCGAAATCATACAGAGAAAGAGGCACCAAATATTTTTGAAAGAAAGAAGACTTTTTCCTGATTTTTTTGTATCCAAATGCTGAGCCAAATGCTCAGCCAGGGACTACATCTGGCTGACTTTGACTGATCTTGAAAAATCTAAGCAGAATTAGATCTGATGTGCATTTAGATGGGAGACTTCCAGGACAACCCAAACCTGTAAGCCCTACTGGGCATTTAAAAAGGATCCTGGAAGCCAGTGGTGAACCTCTCCCATCCTGCATCAAGAAAACAACATGAACATGTCCATGAAGTCACCAGAACTGAGTTCAACTTGAAGGGGAATTCAACTTTTACCTGTCTCTGCCAACCTTCAAAAGAATGTTTAACCAAAACCTACACAGGTAGTCCTTGCTTAACGACCACAATTGGGACCAGAATTTAAGTCACTAAGCGATGCAGTCATTAAGCGAATCATCAAGTGATTGGACCAGATTTTACAATCTTTTGTGGCAGTCATTAAGTGAATCACGCAGTTCCCCATTGATTTTGCTTGCCGGAAGCCAGCTGGGAAGGTCGCAGTGGTGATCACGTGACCCTGGGATGCTGCAACTGTCAAAAGTGCGAGCTGCTTGCCAAGTGCCTGGATTGTAATCACATGACCATGGGGGTGCTGCAACAGTCATAACTTTGGGCACCAGTCTTAAGTCACTTATAGTGGCATCGTAACTTCAGTCACTAAAAGAATGGTCGTTAAGTGAGGACTACCAGTACTAAAAAACATGTAGAAGGGAAAACAAGCTACTTCAAGGTTGGTATGCAATCTGGGAGTCGTCCTGTACTCACAGCTCCTGCTTGAAGAGCAGGTGACAGCTGTGGCCAGGAACGCCTTTGCACAATTCCAGGTGTACCTTTTCCTAGATCAGAGAGTCCTTCAGTCAAGCACTCATGCCCTAGTCACCTCGTAGCTTTACTACTGCAACATGGTCTACCTAGAGTTGCCCTTGAAGACCACCCAGAAGTGTCAATTGGTCCAGAATGCAGTGGAGTGAGCAATAATGGGCATGTCTCAGTATGCCAATGTAACACCTTTGCTTCATGAGCTGCACTGGTTGCCAATTTGCTTTCGGGTGTGATTCAAGATGCTGGCTGTTACCTATAAAGCCCTACATGGCATAGGGCCTGATTACTTGAGGTATGCCCTGCCTCCCACAGCATCTCTCCAGACAATTTGATCCTGCAGTTGGCACGTTCCGGGTTCAATTAAACAATGGACCTCGGAAGTGCACCTTCCCCATAGCATTACCTGCTCTCTGGACTGAGATCCAGATGGCCCCCATTCTGCTGCTGTTTAGAAGAGCTGCGAAGACCTGGCTCTTCACCCAGGCCTTTAGTGAGGGAGAGTGAGACATCCCCCCGCTTCATCACACTTGCCATCTTTTATCTTTAATTGATTTTATTGTAATTTTTTTGTTGGATTGTGAGTTGCCCAGAGTTGTTGAAAGTTGGGTGGCATACAAGTTTAATAATTACTTATGTATTGTTTTTATGAAAGTTGCATGCACTCGCCAAGAGCTAAGTTCAATTTGAAAGTGAATTTACTTTTTATATGCAATGCACTTCAAATACTGGGAAATGATAATGAAATATGTCATATACAGTACTGTGCAAAGGTTTTAGGCAGGTGTGAAAAAATGCTGTAAAGTAAGAATACTTTCAAAATATATATTGTAATTCTTTGTTTATCAATTTATAAAATGCAAAGTCAGCGAACAGAAGAGAAATCCAAATCAGATCAATATTTGGTGTGACCACCCTTTACCTTCAAAACAGCATCAATTCTTCTAGGTACACTTGCACAGAGTTTTTGAAGGAACTCGGC